TAATAGTTGGGATTTTCAGGCTTGGATTTTGGATTGCCAGGCTGGATTTGGGATTTCCAGGCTTAAATTTGGGATATGAAGCTTTATCTGGAGACTGGAAGGCGCTACAAATTCCAGGGATTTGGGGGGACATTTTTCAAGGATTGGGGGGAATTTCTCAAGGATTGGGATTATTCAAGGATTGGGGGGGATTTTTGAGGGATTTGGGGGGGCATTTTTGAAAGGTTTGGGGCTGAGTTTCAACACTTTGGGGGAATTTTTTTGAGGATTTAGGGGCATTTTTTGAGGATTTGGGGGCATTCCTGAAGGATTTGGGGACATTCCTGAAGGATTTGAGGGCATTCCTGAAGGATTTAGGGGGATTCCCCAAGGATTTGTGGGCATTCCTGAAGGATTTGGGGATATTTCTCAAGGATTTGGGCCCATTCCCCAAGGATTTGGAGGCATTATTTGAGGACATTCCCCAAGGATTTGGGGGCATTCCCCAATAATTTGGGAGCATTCCCCAAGGATTTGGGGCCATTCCCTAAGGATTTGGGCACATTCCCCAAGGATTTGAGGACATTCCCCAAGGATTTGGGGACATTGCCCAAGGATTTGGTAGCTTTTCCCAATAATTTGGGCCCATTTCCCAATAATTTGGGCCCATTTCCCAATAATTTGGGCCCATTCCCCAATAATTTGGGCTCATTCCCTAAGGATTTAGGAGCATTCCCCAAGGATATGGGCCCATTCCCCAAGGATTTGGGAGCATTCCCCAAGGATTTGGGCCCATTCCCCAATAATTTGGGCTCATTCCCTAAGGATTTAGGAGCATTCCCCAAGGATTTGGGCCCATTCCCCAAGGATTTAGGAGCATTCCCCAAGGATATGGGCCCATTCCTGAAGGATTTGAGGGCATTCCCCAAGGATTTGGGAGCATTTCCCAAGGATTTGGGCCCATTCCCCAAGGATTTGGGCCCATTCCTGAAGGATTTATGCCCATTCCCCATGGAATGTGCTGCTTTCCCGGGCACAGGCTCCCATTTCTCCCCGTTTGGGATCGTCCCCGCTGCTGCTCCGGTGGCCGTGAGGGGACACCGGGATTGGAAAGCCCCCCCCCCCCATTCCCAGCATGGGGGAATTCCCAAGCAACCTCTTCCCGGTGGGATTTCCCTCCTCCCTGCAGGAATACATCGTCAACAGGAACAAGAAGATCGAGAAGCGGCGGCAGGAGCTGACGGAGAAGGAGGGCAGCAAACAGAAACCGGATCCCTTCAAGGGTGAGGGGCTTTTCCCAAGGGAATCCTCGGGAAGGAGCGGGAAAACCAACAAATCCCGCTCCTGGGGGAGCTGAGGAACCAGATCCCTTCAAGGGTGAGGGGCTTTTCCCAAGGGAATCCTCGGGAAGGAGACGGAAAATCAACAATTCCTGCTCCAGGGGGAGCTGAGCAGGAACGAAAATGAAGGATTTGGGAAACTCGGCCCCGGGGGACAGTCGAGGAATTTGGCAGCTGGAGGAGGAAGGGAAGAGGGAATGGGAAGAGGGAAGGGGCAGAAGGAAGGGGGAATGGGAAGAGAAATGGGAAGTAGGATGGGGAATGGGAAGTAGGAAGAGGAAGGGGAATGAGAAGGGGAATGGGAAGAGGATAGAGGGAATGGGAAGAAAGAAGGGGAATGGGAAGAGAAATGGGAAGTAGGAAGGGGGAAGGGAAGGAGGAAAGGGAAGGATCCTGCTCATCCTCACTGCAGATTGTGCAGCATCAGAGGTACCAGTATCTTGGATTTTCAGGCCTAATATTTGGGATTTTCCAAGTTTAATATTATGCATTTTTGGGCCTGTGTTTGGGATTTTTCAGGCTTGATTTGGGGATTTTCCAGACTTAAATGTCTTGGATTTCCAGGCCTAATGTTTGGGATTTTTCGGGCTTGATTTGGGGATTGTCCAGGCTTAATATTTGGGATTTCCAGGATCAATATTTTGGATTTCCTGGCTTAATATTTTGTATATTTCCAGCCTTAATATGTGGAATTTTTCAAGCTTCATTTGGGATTTTCCAGGCTTAATGTCTTGGATTTCCAGGCCTAATGTTTGGGATTTTCCAGGCTTGATTTGGGCATTTTCCAGGCTTGACATTTGGGATTCCCAGGCCTTGATGTTTGGGATTTCCAGGCTGGCTCTAAACCCTTCAGCAATTCAACCCCAGCCTAAAGAGGGAGCAGGAGCCACCCCAGCACCGGGAGAAGCTCCACAATTTGGGGAATTTTGGGAAAACAGCTTTTTTTTTTGGGGGGAAGGGGGAGGGAGGGGGCTGTTTTCCCACATCTCCTCCTGCTCCTGGATTATTCCAGACTGGGATAACTCTGCTCCTCGCGTGTGGTGGATTTTGGTGGATTTGCTGTGTCCGGGAGGGAACGTGGGAACGCCCAGGCGGGGTTGGAAGGCGTCGTTTGGAGTCTCCCAACCCCAACCTTGGGTTTGTTTTTGTTTGTTTGTTTGTTTTTCCCGGGATCTGGGGAGCAGGGATCGGGCAGGAGCATTTCTTCAAGAGGATCGAGGCCGCTCACTGCATGGCGTGTGACATGCTGATCCCGGCCCAGAACCACCTCCTGCAGAGGCACCTGCGCTCCGCCGACCACAACCGCAACCGCAGGGTGAGCCGGAGCCGCTGGAGCCGCCGGAGCACCGGGAATGCCGGGGGATGGGGGGAGAAGGGGAGAGGGGTGGAGGCTCCACAGCCCTCCTGGGGGCTGAGCAGGGACACGGAAAAAGGGGTGGAAAAACGGGGAGAGGGGCAGGAAATGGGAAATGGGAGCTTTTGTGGGGAGCACGAGGTCCGTTCTCCCGGAGTTCCACAGGGAATGTGCCAAAATGCCGGTGAGAACCGGCTTGGAGGGCGTGTGGGGGAGCTGATGATGATCAGTGTGGGGTCGATGGGTGAACTGGCCCAGGCTGGGGAAGGGATTGGGATGCTGTGGGTGGGGACAAAGGAATGTCCCCCGGGGTGGCTTCGCCTCCGAGCGTGTGACGCCAGTGCGTCATCCCAGCCTCGATCCCGTTATCCCAGCCTCCATCCCATTATCCCAGCCTCGATCCTGTTATCCCAGCCTCCATCCCATTATCCCAGCCTCCATCCCGTTATCCCAGCCTCCATCC